TGTTTCTTGGTGTTGATGTTTGTGTTCTTACATTTACCTCTTCTGGACAATGCGGGGAAGCAGTACAGGTATAAAATAAAATGTTAGGATATGGATTGAAAAGTAGGGCAGCAAGGTGCCTCAGTGGTGAGCATTGCTGCCTCACAGTACAGCGGCCCTGGGTTCAATTCCTGGGCTATTGTCTGCGTGGAGTTTGTATGTTCTCCCTGTATTCGTGTGGGTTCTGTCACGAGCAGTTCTTTCCGGGCCCTATGCAGACGACACGATCTGGAATTGTGAGGTAACACTGGGGAAAAAGTCATGCAGGAGAGGGTATGGAGACAGGGGGCGTGTCCTAGGGGTGCAGGTGTCCAGGGGCAGTGAGTTTGGGGCGAACAATCCAAGAGAAAATCCAAACGGGTAATCCAAGACAGAAGCAAAGTCCAAGGCCAGGAGATCCATTCAGGGGATTAAAACCATGAACCGGGTCGGGACCGGCGAAGGGAAGGGAATCAGGAACAGAAGATTAAAAGCATAACGGAGCCAGACGCAGCAGGACCCCGGGCTCTCACGAAGCGGAATTCAATGAGGATCCAGGAGTGGAGTCTGCGTCTGGCTTTGAAGGGAGAGCGGGAATAGGGAACAGGTGCAGAAAACAAGGAAGGGCTGGAGTGTCTTTAAGAGGAGGGGTTAGCGATCGTGACAGGTTTCCTCTGGATGGTCCAGATTCCTCCTTCAGTCCAATTACATACCGGTACTGTAGGTTAACTGACTTTTGGGAAGATTGGCCCTGCAGTGAGCGTGTTTGTGTCTGTGTCTCTGGCGTCCCATCCAGGTTGTACCCCCTATTTGATAAAGGTATTAGAGGATTAGGGTTAGGGTGCCCGCAACCCTGTATTTGATAAAGGGATTAGAAAATGGATGGATGGATTTAAACAAAGAGATTTCCTGTTAAATCAAAATTGACAGCGCACTAGTATGAGCGCAGTCAGAATATGGTGTACAATTTTGGTCACAGGTATTAAAAATGCAAACCAGTCAACCAAAGCCAAACTTCTTCAGAATCAAGAAACTATGAGGAACTGCCTTTAAAGTCAAGAACAGGAGTCTCTTTACACAAATGCTGGTGGGGATCTGGAAGAATCTGCCCATATGGACATGTACCTACTGTACCAAGCTGTACTGAAGCTGATGCCCTGGGTTCTTTCAACTGGATGAGATCCTGGGATCAATTACCAACAATTTACCCAATGGACTAGAGAGGCAGAATGGGCTGCTGTTACTCAAAAGCGTTCCTGTGTTTTTATAACAGCACAGGTCTGTGTTGGAAGATACTGTGTCAACTGTACATTTTCCATGTACATTCAGGCTCAAATAGTTGTCCAAATTCAGTACGAGGGAGAGGCTTGATCCAGATAATTATAGTTGCGTGGCATCAATCTTTGATTGAAAGAATTGCAAAAACTTAAGATAGAGGTCAGGGGCAGAGCAGAAAGCAGAGTCAGGTTTAGTGAGCTTGTTAATGACAGAGAGGATTTATGATCTCCTAATCCTGAGTGGATTGTGTCTGAGATATAGTGGGTCTGGGTGAAGCTGGAACAGCTCTGTAGACTTGTGGGTGTTCATTATAAGAATGAGTGTGAACCACTAGGCTGGATTTTTTGCTTAAGCTCTCCAGGAGCCTTCCAGCTAGTTTCAGATTCTGAAGTTCAGGTGTGTACCATGGGGAGGAGCACTT